ACTGATCAGTTTCAGCAGCGGCTGAATCTGGACGCCAGTTCCGACTTACATACAGATTCAACTTAAGAACAAACCTACAGTCCCTATCTTGTACGTAACCCGGGGACTGCCTGTACTTAATCCATGAAAGTAAGGTGTAGACTTAAAGCAGATCAACTGTTGTTGAGTCAAGATAAGCACCAGTTTGATGAGTTTTTTAGTTAGGTACATTACAAAAAGGCAATGGCATTTCCTGGTACAGTAACAATAATATCAGTGCTATCCAAGACTACAAATGGTATTTTATCAGACTTTAAATCAAGTGTGCCTTTCAAATTATTTCCCTGTCTGCAAACTGTGTTGTATGGACTATTGCATGATATTATATTCTGGGGATAATGTGTTGACAAGTGTAAACTATACTAACTCAGGTGAACATGGCTGGCCCTCATTTCCACTGGGCTGCGCAGTTTTGCAATTGGCAGGTGTTTCTTTTCTCCTAGTTTTCATTAATTCAAATTACACTGCTGGGTGAGACAAATTAATCTGCATGTGTAGTAATCAATCATTGTGTGATGGGCATGTCCTTATTGGGAACAAGTGAAAGAATTAAACTTGTAATTATTTTCTCAAATCACCATAACTTCAGTATGTCCTCGGAAATTTATGCTAGAAAGGTGAAGCTTTGCATGCTGGGAATTGCAGCTTCACTGTGTCTCAGTCTATGTTAAGAGCGGAAGCTGTATTTTCTGGTGTAATAATACAGGGCATATGGCTTTTTAATCTGGTTTCTACTCCCGGTGCCACCACTGATTTGTAATGCAACAGTTGCTTGCCTCAGTTTCTGTATCTTTAAAAGGGAAATGAATAGTTACTAATCTTTGAAAAACGCCTTGAGATCTTGCATTCAAAAGCATTGAACACAGTATGTGCTAGGCATTGTTATTAAAGAGAAGGGGAGTTCCAATCTTTGCTCCACTTTCTGCAAAAAAGGCAAGTGGTTGGCAAATTGCCATGTCTGCGCTTTCATTTTGTCAAAGTTTACTTTAAGCTGTCCTATTGATCTGTGTCTGGCAAGGTAGGATGCATAGAAGTTGCTTTGAGTATTAGGAGTCTGACAACATATCCCCTGTAAGGCCTTTTGTAAAAGGGGAAATTGCCTTAGCCAAGGCCTGCTCAGGGTGATCATGTCATCTATGAACTTGGGCTCTTCCGGATCCATAGAATTTCAGTATCCATAGCGAGCTAACAAAAACTGGGTGTAGTAAATTAGTTATTGGGCAGACTTCTATTTGCATCACTACCCTTCGCATTACTCCACCATGAGCTAGGATGATGAGGATTTTCTTATATAAAAAAAAGGGGAGTAAGACAGTCTTTTCCCTTCTCTTTTCTCGTAATAACATTGGCCTTGTTCATTCCAAGTTGTCTTAACTAATCATTAATAATCACTGAGAGGCATAACTCCATTTTCTGCCTCCACTCCTAAATATTTCTCCACTGTGCATTGCACTGACTCAAACAGGGTAAAACAATTATAATTTTATATATTTGTTTGTAAAATAAATGCTGCCTAAAATTCAAATGTATTAATAAGTAAAAGTAACCTCAACTTCAAAAAGCTTGTCTCAGGAAGGATGGGATGGGAGAGGAGGGAGGGTATAAGAATAGGCCTCCTGTATCTGATAGATATGACAACAAGGAAGAAGAGAAATATTTGGGCTGCTCCACAAAACAGAACTGGGGAGATGGGAGTGAAACCAAGCACATAAATATATTGGCGAGAGAGTTAAAAACCCCAAGCAGCAAGAAACTGCATCTATAATGCACATATAATGACTGAACGACTTTTTTGTTCTTAGCGTTAAGATGGCACAGAAGCCTTCCAGACCTTCCAAATCTAAGAAACACAAATACAAACCATGTAACCAAAATGCATTGTTCTAGAATATGCTGTCGCTACGGCACAGTTGAGTTCCAGCACTCATTTTCCGTTGAAATTTGCACAGTGATTTTTTTCACATTTCAGTCCCCACAGCGTCAGCTGTCAGCTCTTCGACATGTTGGGTTTTCCTGGAAGGTTTGGAGAGTGGAAATTCCCACAATCTGCCCAATTTGAATCGCCTCTGGGGTAGAAGTAACATACAGGCTTGATATAACTTTTCATTCTACAGAGATATTTGCATGACTGACTGAATAATTCCTAAGCAATATCTATTACTTTCCCATCATTCTTAGGAAGCACAAGCATCGTCATGACTTTCTTATTGACCAGTAATTACTGATTCGTTCTGCAGGAAAAAAAAGGGGAATTCTAAGCAAACTCTAAGCAGCAGGGGGTGAGGAAGTAGCAATTAGCACCCTTGTTACTAGACTGTAACAATGCCAGGTATCTGGCGTTTCTTTCTGTGTGTGAACACACAGAAGGATGTCGGTGCTGTTTGCTCTCTGCAGCACTATTCAATGGGCGCCCCAGACAAAGGGCACTGGAGTAAGGTAGCCTATCGGCCATATGAAATCATACCTCAATGTGACCTTTTTTAGATGAAACAGCGAATCCGAGAACTGGAGGAATCAATAAAAGAATACGAGGCAGTAATCCAGGTAAGGATTCCACATCTAGCGTGGTTAAAGGTACAAGCCCTACATAATTCAACCTGTAACACCAGATGGATCTTGTAATTAAGGCACTAGATTAGTATAGCATCTGGAAACCTGAGTTTGTTTGTTTTTTTGGCTCTCTCACTGCATCCCAGGGTTCTTCATCTGTACGATGAGGGTGCTGCATTTCCTTTGCCTATTGTCATCCCATCTTCTGAGATAGTTACGTTTTGGTGGGGGTAGGGACTGTCTTTCTCTGCGTATCTCAACTGTTCCTAGCACAACAAGACTGACACATCTGCGGAGGCCTTCAGACTATGTTGATTTACACAGATACATACGCTATTCTTGTGCGAGGTCGCCAGTAATAAATACACTACACTACAGGCTTTTGTCGACAGAAGTTTTGTCGACAGATACTGTCAACAAAGCTTCTGTGGACAAAGAGCGTCTAGACTACATCCAGTTCTGTCGACAAGGCAAGTTGCTTTGTCGACATGAGAGTGTAGACGCAAAGGACAGTGTAGATGCAATAAAGCCTTCTGTTGACAGAACTCTGTTGACAAAAGGTGTTATTCCTTGTAGAATGAGGTTTACCACTGTCGACAAACCTTCCGAGTTCTGTTGACGTTATGTCGACGGAACTCGGCGGTAGTGTAGACGCAGGTATAGTTTTGTCGACAAAAGTCCACCTTTGTCGACAAAACCCTGTAGTCTAGACACACCCCAGGACAGCATCGTGTGCAGGTCTAGGATGGTGATGATACAGCTTTTCCCCCTGCAAACACCCGTTGAGATTTTGGGAGGCGCGTGGAGAAGGGCGGGAGTCACAGAACAGCACCATAATGGCTGACTCTAAAGTCTTCACAATGGTCATTGTCACGGGGTGCATCACTGCCAGGCGGCGCCTGCTCCTGGTACTCTGGGGATTGGCTCAAGACCGGGCTTCCCCATCTGCACTTCTCCCAACATCACTGCATCTCTGCTGTCCACCTCTCCTAGCCCCGGGAACCGGTGTCCTCTTCCTGGCTCCTCCTCCGGCCACGTCACTATTTCCCCTTCTCCGGGTGGGATTTCGCTCCTTAAGCATCCTAGGTGGTCTTCCTGGTCATGGCCTTCATTCCACTCACCAGTGACTGATGGCTCCTCCTCCGGCCACGTCACTATTTCCCCTTCTCCGGCTGGAATTTCGCTCCTCAAGCATCCTAGGCGGTCTTCCTGGGCATGGCCTTCATTCCACTCGCCAGTGACTGATAGGGGGACAGAGGCCTGCCCTCGTCTCCAGGATCCAGTCCTGGGCCCTTCAGCTCAGCAGGCTAGGCCTTCTCTCCCCAGCTTCATTGCTCTCGGCTTGGGCTGCTTCCTTTCCTCTGGTTCCCCTTTTCTTCCTGGGCCTGCCAGATCCCCAAGCCTCCCCCTTCTTCTCAGGGAGTGACCAGAGCCTGCAGTCCCCACTTGCTCCTCCCTCTCTCCTTGGAGCGTCTGCCTTTTCCCAGCACCCCCTTCTGCACCCTTCCCTGGGCATTATGGGCCCCACTTTCTCCTGACCGCCTGAGCCACCTTAATCAACTGCCTAACTGGTTATTTGGCCCATCTGGCCTGCCGGGGAGTGGAGGGGGATCACAGCAGAGTCCTGCGGGTGTAGAGGAGTGGCGCACCTCACATAGGCTGCTCCGTTTCTCACCTAGCCTAAAAACACAGCGCAACTGTGGGTGCAAGTCAACAGCATCACTTCACAGAACCGGAAGGTCCCTTTCTCTCTCTTTCCATTGGCAGCAGCAAGGGCGCAAACGGCGTTTGGTCTGTCCGCACCCTTACTGAACAGAATCCAACCAGATCCCAAACGGGTGAGATAGATTGGCCCATCTGGCCTGCCGGGGAGTGGAGGGGGATCACAGCAGAGTCCTGCGGGTGTAGAGGAGTGGCGCACCTCACATAGGCTGCTTTCCATTGGCAGCAGCAAGGGCGCAAATGGCGTTTGCTCTGTCTGCACCCTTACTGAACAGAATCCACCCAGATCCCAAACGGGTGAGATAGGAAAGATTGGGAAAGGAACCCAACCAAGCATGAATTCCTGGATTTGCCCTTTCTAAGGTTCTTCAGGATAAAGAGAAGTCTCTTCAGGACCAGCTCTCGGCTGCTGAGGAAAAGACTCGGTAAGTCTGGACGCAAACCAAAGCTTTCGGTGGCCAGTGTCTGGTGGTAGGTCTGCACTACAAAGCTTCTAGCAACCCCGCTGTGTCAACATAGCTGTGGGCTGAAAGTCAGGCAGTGCAAACACATTTTGTTGGCACTTTTGCCATGAAAAAACTTCCACCCGCTACGAGCTGCGGCGTTGTCAGCAGGAGAACCCGGCTGTGGGCAAAGCACTGGTTACACTAAACTGTCCAGGGGCAAAGTAGTTCTTGTTCAGGGAGAGGGAGACTAAGCACCTGTGAAGGACAAAAGCTTTGTGGCTCAATTGCCAGTGTGGACAAAGCCTTAGTGATGATACGGGGGGACGTAGTATTGTGTGCAAAGTTGAGAGAGAGCCAGTGCGAGGAATTTCACTTAGAACGGCCAGCCTGAGTCAAGCTGACATGCTAGTCCGCCCATTTGTGTCTGCCATAGCTATTTCAGTCCATCACAGTCATTATCTGTCCGGATACCGGGCCTCTTTCAAACATGGGGTGTCATGTTACTAAGCCCTTCAAGGAACTTATCTCCTTAACTGTGAAACCACGAGAGTTAAAAAGAGAGGCTCTCTGTGTATGTGTGAGATAATAGCCAGTACTTTCTTCTCCAGCTGCAGCAGGGTGTCACCAGAAGCACTGAGTCAGTGTTTCCTACAACAAGGACTTAAACAAAAGTCCGACTTCTTTGCTGACAACTAGCCATTGTCTTTCTTTGTGTAAACTTGGAAAATTGTACCTAACACACAAGCATGACTGATAAGCAATACTCTGGCTGGATTGTTATAATCTTCTAATCTCTTCCTATCTGAAGTGGGTTGTGCCCATGAAAGCTCCCGATACAATCTACATTTTTTGTTAGTCTCTAAGGTGCTGCAGAACTATTTGTTGTTTTTAAAGTTTTTTCAATTACAGACTAACGCAGCTAACACCCTCTGAAAATCTTCCTATCTCTTCTTTTCATTGGATATTCACTCACATTTGCCTCTGTACTGAATTCTGAGTGGTAGATCCAGGGTGCTCTCTTGTTCTCCTCTAAATCTTTCTTTTTCTATCCATCTTTGTTCCTATCACAAGGAGACACAGCAAAAATATAGCAAGAATAGGACATGGGACTGAAAGGGATCTCCTGGGTCATTTCAGGCAACCCTGAATTTTGGGCTGTCTCTTGAGTTGTCTTGTGTAGCATGATGGCTGTGAAGATACAGTCTGAGCATTTGCTGAGAAATTCCAAGGCAGTGATACAGAACCCGTCAAGTGCCGGGACGGGCCATCTCACAAACGTAAAAATGGATAGCCGAGATGTTTCGTGGCAGGTTATTGCTTATCAAGACGTGGAAAAAAATTGCTTAATGAGAACAGCCAATGTAAGCAGGGGCTCAAAAACCTTATAACGGGCCAAGAGTCTAGACATGTAGATATTTGGTGGTTGGCAATGGGGCAAAACAGCAGTGGAAGGTCCCATTGCCTGCGGTTCAAAGCAGACAGGCCGAGATGGAGAAGACTGGACGTTCTCTTAAGCAAAGTAGGGAAATGCAGTCTTGGGATCTATTGAGCTTTGGTCCTTCTGATTGGTCGAGTCCATTACAACACTGACATTCTACAAACCTGCCACTCGCGAGTGAGTGCGCAAAATAAAACACATCAATCATTCTTTCCCAGGAATGATTTTCTACAACCTTGACAAATAATTTCACCTTTGGCTTCAGACCAAACATAAGACTTTCTAGTCATATAGGGAAGTGTTTCCATGGAATGTAAGAAGAGGGAGTAGAAAAAGATTCCATCTGCAACTTTTGCTATGGCACTGCATCGCATGGCTAGCTTGGTACCTATGTTGCTGGAAGGGTTTTAACCTCTGGTCCTTTCTACTCGTCCTTTCTTCCATTGTCCGATGCTCATAGTGTCTTAAATGTATCATCTTTAACAAAGAATACGATGCCCTTCAGAGCCACATGTTTATAGAGACCAAATCGGAAAATTGAATTTTATGGGAATTATTGAAATTTGCAAACAAATCAAGTTCCTTTGATGTTTACAGAACTCTCCCAAAGAAAGCTAGTAACATCCTGAACATTAACCCCAAAAGCCTGATGTCTGAAATAGTCAAAGCTGAGCTGGTAAGTACTTTCATCTTCTCCTTAAGACCACAGGTGGGTAATAAACGGCTCGTGAATGCAGGTACAGCTACTGTGGTTTTATACCACTAACAACTAGACCACGGGTGGGCAATAAACGGCTCGTGACTGCATGTACAGCCACTGTGGTTTTATACCACTTACAACTTTCACTGACCTTTTCTGTACCTTTTCCAATTCTAATATAGCTTATTTCAGACAGGGTGGCCAGAACTGATACTGTATTCTATGTCTGGGTGCTCTATGGTTTTGGGTGTTGGCATAATATTTTGTCTTATTACCATCTGCTTCCTGAAAGTTTCTAACGTTCTATTTGATTTTTGACTGCTGCTGCACATTGGAGGCTAGCATAATTCAAAATGATCTGGACAAACTGGAGAAATGCTCTGAGGTCAATAGGATGAAGTTAATAAGGATAAATGCAAGGTACTCCACACAGGGTGTGTCTAGACTGAAGGCTTTTTTAAAAAAAAGTGGCCTTTTTTCGAAAAAACTTTACCCGTGTCTAGACTGCTGCTGCGTTTTTTCAGAAGTAAATCGAAAGAATGCGGCTGTTTTTTTGACCATGGTAAACCTCATGCTCAAACTTTACCTGTGTCTAGACTGCTGCTGCGTTCTTTCAGAAGTAAATTGAAAGAATACGGCTGTTTTTTTGACCATGGTAAAGCTTATGCTCTTTCGAAAAAAGGTGCTATGTAATGCAAACTGTGCTTTTTTGGAAGAGAGCATCCAGATTGCCTGGGTGTTCTCTTTCAAAAAAGTGGCTTGCTTTTTCGAAAGTACTGGTCGTAATCTAGATGCTCTTTTTCGAAAGCACCTTTCGAAAAAGCCTCTTTCAAAAGAGGCTTGCAGTCTAGCGGTAGCCTTAGGGAGGAACAAAGAGTTTCACACATACAGAATGGGAAGCGACTGTCTAGGAAGGAGTACGGCAGAAAGGGATCTAGGTGTCCAAGTGGCTCACAAGCTAAACATGAGTCAATAGCGTGAAGCTGTTGCAAAAGAAGCAAACATGATTCTGGGATGTATTAACAGCGGTGTTGTGAGCAAGACACCAGAGGTCATTCTTCCACCTTACTCTGAACTGATTAGGCCTCAGTTGGAGTCTTGTGTCCTGTTCTGGGTGCCACATTTCAGGAAAGATGTGGAGACATGGGAGAAGATCCAGAGAAGAGCAACAGAAATGAGTAAACGCCTAGAAAACATGATCTGTTAGGGAAGACTGAAATAATGGGGAGTGTTTAGTTTGGAAAGGAGAAGACTGAGAGGGGACATGACAGCAGTTTCAAGTATCTAAAAAGGTGTTACAAGGAGGAGGGAGAAAAATTGGTCTCTGAGGACAGAACAAGAAGCAAGGGGCTTAAATTGCAGCAAGGAAGGTTTAGGCTGGATATTAGGAAAAACTTCCTACCTGTCAGGGGGGTTAAACACTGGAATAAATTGCCTAGCGGGGGTTGTGGAATCTCCATCACTGGGGATATTTCAAGGCAGATTGGACAGACATCTGTAAGGGATGGTCTAGATGTTGATTGGTCCTATCATGAGGGCAGGGGACTGGACTTGACACTCCTGCATGACGTGAATGGAGATGCGGGGTGTGGGGTGGAGGTGGGGTGCAGAAGGGAGCTTGGGGTAAGGGACTGGGCTGCAGGAAGGAGACCGGAGTCTGGGCGGGAGTTGGGATGAAGCAGGCGGTTGTGACTTAGGGCAGAGGACTGGAGGGCAGGGGTTTGGGATGTGACCATGGGGAGGAGGGGATTGTGATCTGGGGCAGGAGATTGGGGGGCCGGATCTGATAGAGGGTATGGCTGTAAGAAAGGTACAGAGACTAGCCTGCCTGCCTGCAGAGGTTAAAGATTTCCCAGCCAGCCAGTTTGCCTGGCCGTGAGCCCAGGAGAGGGGGCGTGATTCTTCATAGCTGCCTGTTATTCTAACAAGCAGCTCACATTGGCTGGGGTGGGGCAGAAAACAGCCAATAGGAATGTGCTGGGGGCGGGGCGGCTCCTAAAACTTCCCCCCTCCTCTCCAGTTTCAAAACAAAAACAGAGCCCTGCAGCTGCTTTTCTGCATGGCCTGTGACAAGCAGGGACGCCTGCCTGGGGCTCCCCGCTGCCTGCTGCCTCCGAGGGCGACAAGCAGGGACGCCTGCCTGGGGCTCCCCGATGCTGCCTCCGAGGGTGGGATCTGGTGGCTTGGCGGGCCAGATTCGGCCGTGAGCTGTATTTTACCCAGGCCTGATCTAGATGGTGCTTGGGGACTGGACTCGGTGACTCTGGAGGCCTCTTCCAGGTCTAGTGTTCTAGGATTCTAGGATTGGGTGGATGCACTGAGAAAACTGCCCACAATGACTTGCAGGGTTACTTGAGGGGCACGATGGAGCCCATTGGTCAGACACACAAGGGAAAGTGACAAATCTCTTCATTTGGAGCAAAGCACCAAAACTAATCGATGGGCGTCACCTGTGAAAACATAAGTCGAATCCTTTTGGTTTTAAGAACATTGCAAAGAATCTCTCATTGGTAACCCAACGGCCTCTTCCAACAACTTCTTGCCAACTTTGCAATTGGAAGCATTTTAAGTCTCTTAAAATTCTCTTTATCTGCAGGAAGACAAAATACGAGGCAAAGGGAAGAAGCAAAGGAAGCACTTTTTTGGTGGTAGGTTAGTGAAGTTCCCATTTACATTTATGAACCAGCTGCATTTTTAAAAGCTATTTTAGGACCTGACAAGAATGTAAAGAAAGAACAGAACAGAGCAAGGGGGCAGCTTTGGGTGGGTATTTCGATAGCTAGGAATGCAGGCAGGTGTCTAGTGGGTTGCCTTGCATGCTTTTGAAAATCCCATCAGACACTCATCAGTATCTTCAGGTGCCTAAATACCTTTAAAAATCTGGGCTCAAGTCAATACAGAAGCACTTCACTTAGTACAGGTTGAACCTCTCCAGTCTGGCACTTTCTGGTCCAGCAACCCCCGTGGTCCAGCACGATTTTAGTTAGCCGGATGTTCGCTTATCACAGGGGTGGCTGAGTTTCCTGCGCTCCTATAAAGTTTGTTTACAGCCACCAGCCCTGGCTCCCAGTGTTCTGTGCTGTGATTTAGCTCCAATTTTCCCTTAAATGTCTTCTAAGAGCCCAGCAAGCAGTGGAAGTGCTGGTGATGTTGCTAGACGGTATTGGCCTCCCGTGGTCCGGCAAATTCTCTGATTCGGCATCAGGCAGGACCCAGAGTGCCGGACTAGGGAGGTTCCACATGTATGAGCAAATCATAATGGATAGGACCCACTAAAGGAAAATACCTTGGGCTAGGAATTTGAAGGCTGCCTTCAGGGATTTAGATGAGGATTAGTGCCGTTTTAAATGTCCATTGACATGGGAATTGGGGACATGGCCCCGTAAGCTCCCTAGGAACTGGGAGTGCCTCTGTTCTGGGCTGTACAGACCCTAGCACAAAGGGATCCTGGTGTACGAAAGGGACCCGGGGGGGGGGGGCCATAAAACAGGTGATAAATCAAAGGGCGATAGCAGGGGGAAATGGGAGGTGAGCCATTTAAAAAAAGCTAAACGTATCTTTGGAACGATGGGGTAACAGCAACAATCAGCCCTGCCCATCAGTGTGAAGTGACCGGGGCCAAGACCATTGCCCATCGGTGTGAAGTGACCAGGGGCCAAGACCAATGAGAAAAACGGAGACACAGCGCAGGGCCGACAGTCCCAGCGGGCCCTGGGGCACGGTGTGAGGGGAGCCGGCGCCACGCCCCGGAAGAGGTGGGGCCAAAGGCAGTCAGCCCTTAGCGCCGCCCAGATCATGGCCTCCCCCAGACCTCAGAGCCAACGCCGCGCGCCGGCGCTCTGGCAGCGGGTCAGGCGAGTCGGGGGTAACCGCCCCCTCCTCCCCGTCAGTGAGCCTGGAGCACACACGGGAAAGCAGCGAGGGAGGAGAAAGGCAGCGAGAGGGAGAGGAGTCGCTGAGGAGCCAGGCCCAGAGACGTGGATTGACAATAAGACGAGGTTGGGGGGTGATCTGCAACGCCCCGAGCTCTAATTCGACACTGTCCATTCCACAGTCGTGATGCGCATAAGAAATTCGTCCCCGCCAGTAAATGTGTGTGCGCCGCCTGCAGGGTGTGAGGGTATGTCTACACTACCCCCCAGTTCGAACTAGGGTGGTAATGTAGTCATATGGAGTTGCAAATGAAGCCCGGGATTTGAATTTCCCGGGCTTCATTTGCATAAAGCCGGCCGGCGCCATTTTTAAATGCCACAACCTCTAGGGGTGCATCTAGATTGGCAAGATTTTGCGCAAAAGCAGTTGCTTTTGTGCAAAAACTTGCCAGCTGTCTACACTGGCCTCTTGAATTTGTGCAAGAGCACTGACGTTCTAATGCAAGAATTCAGTGCTTCTTGCGCAAATACTTTCCCGCTCCCGCTCAGGGATAAGCCCTCTTATGCAAGAATACTTGCGCAAGATGGCTAAAATGGCCATCGGAGCTTTCTTGCGCAAAAGCGCGTCTATACTGCGCACGGATGTTTTTGCGCAAAAGCATCCGTGCCAATCTAGATGCTTTTTTGCGGAAATACTTTTAACTGAAAAACTTTTCCGTTAAAAGTATTTCTGCAAAATCATGCCAGTCTAGTCGCAGCCCCAGTGCTTCACCACCCTGACAGTTAGGAAATTTTTCCTAATGTCCAACCTAAACCTCCCTTGCAGCAGATGAAGCCCATTGCTGCTTCTTCTATCCTCGGAGGCCAGGAAGAACAAGTTTTCTCCCACCTCATTGCGACACCCTTTTAGATACCTGAAAGCTTCTATCATGTCCCCCCTCGATCTTCTTTTTTCCAAACTAAACAAGCCCAATTCTTTCAGTCTTCCTTCATAGATCATGTTCTCTAGACCTTCCATCATTCTTATTGCTCTTCTCTGGACCCTCTCCAATTTCTCCACCTCTTTCTTGAAATGTGGTGCCCAGAACTGGACACAGTACACACATGCAGTGTGTTTATGTAATGTGTTGTGTGTTTGTGTCGCACGCCATGTGTTTTTGTACTGTGTTGTGTGTCGTGTGTAATGTGTTGTGTGTTTGTGTCACATGCAGTGTGTTTGTCTAATATGTTATGTGTCGTGCAGTGTGTTTGTGTAATATGTTGTGTGTCACATGCAGTATGTTTGTGTAATGTATTGTGTGTTTATGTAATTATGCCCTGTGTTTGTGTCTCTTTATCCTGCAGGCTGAACCCCAAGTGGATTCTGGTTGTGTTGTGGCACCTGACGGGCATGCTGCTGGCCATCCTCCTGGCTGCCACCCTAGTCACCCTCTTTGTGCTCTGGACCTGCGTCTCAGAGCACACCGTGACAGAGGCCTATCACCAACCGATCTGGCAGTTTCTGGACTATTACCTCTGGCCTCATATGAAACTGCACAGTTCTGGCATGTTACCCAAGTAACCCCTTTGCAGAACCTATGGATGACTGCGAGTGTATTCGCAGCAAAGCCCTGTCATTCTACAGCCAACCGCCCGGCCTTGGAGACAGCTATTTCCCTCAGACAGTTTGTGATCTGCAACGCCCCGAGCTCTAATTCGACACTGTCCATTCCACAGTCGTGATGCGCATAAGAAATTCCAATGTCAGACTCCTCAGGGCAGGGTGGTGGTGGGGAGGAGAGTCACCTACACATTCAGACAGTTAGTGAACCGCTGGGGTCGGAAGAAGCTGTCGTGTTAGGCCGACATCGTACCAGATAAAAGCCAGAATGGAGCTTTAAGTAATAGATCTGAGGTGTTCCGATATTTGCTCCCATATTTTTATCCAAACGTATGCTGTAGGCTCGGCAGACGGTACAGATGTTCCTCGAGAAAGGACAGACGTATTCATTGCATTCCTCTCTGGTGTGACGCGGCCAGGTTCAGGGGACACACTCCGACCCTTGTGTTTCACTGCGGAATGAACTGGAAATTGCGGGCCTAGCCTGCAGGTCTGGGCAAGCCAGGGCTGCCATTTTTGCTGCGTTCAGTCTGGCGCTGAGGTGTTTCTAGGCATGTGCGGTGTAAGGAAAGCTGTACGTGGTGTAAATGAAATTCTCTTGGTATAATCCACAGGCTGTTATTTATCCATTAAGAGCAGCACGCCGAGATAACATATCATGGCACATGTTTGCTGTGCTCCGGTCTGGCAGGATTAAAATGCTACATCCTCCTTGAGCTATTCCAACCAGGAACCACACAGTACCTGTTCAGAAAACAAAGACAACAGGAATGAAGCTGCAACCCTGAGTTTCCAGGGGCGAGGGTGACACACAGGGAGGGGGGAAGGGGGGAGCGGAGCACACTCGTATTTCGATGGGAGGAACTCTCTCACTTTTCCTGATGGGCCCTGCGTACCTGAAGCGCTGTGTGCCGTGTGTAGCTTGTTCTGATGAGCTGGGAACAGGCCAGGCGCGCGTCAGACGGGGATGAAGAGAGGAGAGGGGGAGCCCCAGCCAGGGTGCTGTGCACGTCACATGGAGCGGCATGAAATTGCTCTGTCGTGCGGGAACCAGAGAGCACCTCACACCAGCTGCCTGCCATGGCCTCACTGCACCAGCCAGGTCACACTCAGCAGCCAGGGACAAACTAGCATCATGCTCCCGGCTGTGGCCAAAGTCAGGCTCCGCGAGGATGGGAGAAAGGGAAGGAAGAGGTCGTGGTCTCCGTGGCCAGGGCAGGAGCTGATCAGTTCCCAGTCAGCATTTACATACTGGGGCGACGCTCCAGCCGTTCCGCATGGGTCCAGCGCTGGCAGACAGTGTTTGCCTCAGAGCCCAGGCCTGGCCCTAGGGCAAGGCGAGCCAGGCAAATGCCTTGGGCCCTGTAGTGCTGAGTATTCACCATCCCCCGGCTGGTCCCAGGCCCCGCTCCCAGCGTCCTGCCTTGGGCCTTGCACACTCTTTGGCCGGGCCTGTCAGAGGCTCACTGTGCCTTCCACAGAGCCCCTGGCCCTACTCTAGGGGCAAAGCTGACAGCCTCCTGAGCCCTTCTCATCACAGGCTAGTCCACAGGGAGGTGAAAATCCCCCTCAGAGGCAGACTCGCTAGTGCCATGGGGAGGGGTGGGGGTAACCCAGGCCCACTCACTACTCCGGCTTCCGGTCCAAGGACCCTAAAGCAGTTCTGCTCCCAGTCGGCAGCTTCTTCCCTGGGCCACTTCCCCGAACAACCCCCCATAACCTTTCCTGTGGTATCTGCTCCCCCACAGCACTCTGCCTTGCTCGCAGTCCCCATCTCTCATTCAGACACCTCTCACTCACAGACCCCGGGAACCTTCCCTCCCCCAGACTCCTCACGCGCTCCCAGCTAACTGCAGAGGAGCCTTGTTTAACCAGTCCCAGCTGGCTCTTAATTGACCCCAGAGGCTCTGATTAGTCCCCCCAGTGGACTCCGGAAACATCCCAACTGTCTCCCGGGGCTTCAGTTGGCTTGACTGAGTCCAGAAGGTTCCTTTTGGTTCTGGGTTAGTCCTTGTTATTTCACACTGGGTACAGAGACTTACTCAGTCTGGGGCTGATATACTTTCCTTCAACCACTCCCCCTCCGGCCTGACCCTGTCACAATATCCTGTAACAAAAGACAGGACTATGTAGCACTTTAAAGACTAACAAGATGGTTTATTAGGTGATGAGCTTTCGTGGGCCAGACCCACTTCCTCAGATCAAATAGTGGAAGAAAATTGGCACGACCATATATACCAAAGGATACAATCAAAAAAATGAACATATATGAAAAGGACAAATCAAATTTCAGAACAGAAGGGGGATGAGGGGGGGAGGTAAATGTCTGTGAGCTAATGATATTAGAGGTGATAATTGGGGAAGCTATCTTTGTAATGGGTAAGATAATTAGCATCTTTGTTGAGACCTAGGTGCAAAGTGTCAAATTTAAGCATGAATGACAGTTCAGAGGATTCTCTTTCAAGTCTGGTGTTAAAATGCCTTTGAAGCAGGATGCAGGTAGTTAAGTCCTTGAGACAATGCCCTTTCTGGCTGAAATGGCAAGAAACTGGTTTTTCTTTGTGATCCTGTCCAGTAGCTGAAATTTGATTTGTCCTTTTCATATGTGTTCATTTTTTTGATTGTATCCTTTGGTATATATGGTTGTGCCAATTTTCTTCCACTATTTGATCTGAGGAAGTGGGTCTGGCCCATGAAAGCTCATCACCTAATAAACCGTCTTGTTAGTCTTTAAAGTGCTGCATAGTCCTGGTTTTTGTTTCAGCTACACCAGACTAACACGGCTACATTTCTATTACAATATCCTGTGTGAGCTTCGTCAGTAGGATACAGGAGTGATTCTTGCAAAGCCGCACACGGGCCCCAGGTCGCCAGAACTCCTGCCAGGAGTTACAAAGTGAGTCTCCCTCACAGGGGCCACGTTATACCTGAGGGGCTATGGGTCACTAGGCAGGGCTGCCAGACTACAGGCTTCCATTAGAGAACATGCTGGAACTTGTTAGTCAAGATATGGCCTGTCTGAGTGTACTCCCAGCAAAGCCCTGTCATTCTCCAACCTCCCGGTGTGTGGAAATGACTATTTCCCTCAGACAGTTTGAGATCTGCAACGCCCCGAGCTCTAATTTTACACTGTTCATTCTGCAGTCGTGGCACGTGTAAGAAATTCAAATGTCAGACTCCTGAGAGTGGGGGAGGGAAAGTGTTACCTACATATTCAGACACGTAGTGAATTGCTGGGGTAGGAAGATGCTGTCATGTTAGGCCAACATTGTACTAGATAAAAGTTTGTCGGGGGGTTAGTCATTACAGTACCCTATGACAGGCAAGTTATGAGAGAGCTTCCTGGCTTAATCCAAGACCCCATCCGGGGCCCTGTATCCTCCTCAGAGGGTGAGGTTTCCTACGGAAACATGAAGGAGTTCTGCTCTATCGTCACCAGCCACCTCCCCACAGCCGTGGTGTCCAGGACCGGGAGGGTGTCGTGTCTCATCTGAAGAGGCCTAGAGCAGTAAGGGAACTTTCAGACCAGGCATTTATGGCGGCTGGATACCACCAAATAGCCGTATCATTGGGGCTGCTGCCGAGGACAACTGCCAATCCCTCACAGACTCCTCAGGAGTGATTCGTACACCAGCCAGGACCGGGAGCGTGTCGTGTCTCATCTGAAGAGGCCTAGAGTAGTAAGGGAACTTTCAGACCAGGCATTAATCACCAGGCCATCCGACTGTGCCATGCCATGCCGTCCGACTGTACCATGCCATGCCATCCGATTGTACCATGCCATGACGTCCGACTGTACCTCTCCTTTCTCTGCAGAGGAAGTGGCAGCTCTCCAAGAACATTGCACAAATCGCATGTGACAGCATGTCCCTGTCTCCCATCTCAGGTCCAAGGAGGAATGGTTACATGTGCTCATCCACATCTAGTTTCCATGTGTTCACAGATAAACCTGTGCCCCAAATAGGTGAAATAAGCTATCATTCTGTGCCCACTTCCACCAGCAGCTCAAAACACCTGTCCTAAGCCCGGGTACAACTTTCTGCTGGGCACGTTGCTCCTTCCTTTTGTTAGCAGTGCAACTGTGCACCTTCAAAGCCGCAATTTCCCACTGGAAAGTCCTCATCAATGCGCCGCAAAGGCACATGCTTTGGTGTCTCCTCCTTACTTGTGCTCGCAGTCCTACACCATTGAAAATGTAGCGTTTCCTCTTCTTATCAACAATGCAAATAGAGTGCAAACACCACTGCGTGGCTAGGAAGCAAAGCCAAAGATCCCGCTCCGAAAGTCCTACCTGGCGTGACTGTACTGCATTAGGCAGCCTGCCAATGCGCCGCAAAGGCACATGCTTTGGTGTCTCCTCCTTACTTGTGCTCGCAGTCCTACACCATTGAAAATGTAGCGTTTCCTCTTCTTATCAACAATGCAAATAGAGTGCAAACACCACTGCGTGGCTAGGAAGCAAAGCCAAAGATCCCGCTCCGAAAGTCCTACCTGGCGTGACTGTACTGCATTAGGCAGCCTGCGTTCTTAGGCACCGAGTCTCCGACCTTCCTCGGAAAAATGTCCTATTCAAAATAAATTCAGCATTGGTTTCCAACTGACTGTATTCTCTGTCTGGCTTTTGCTTATCAAAGACGGTGAGTTTTGATTTATTTACAAATACGTCGCAAGAAAACGAGAGGGAAATCGTATCATAAGATTTGATGTAATGTACATTATTGGTTTTCATTTCATGGCTGTATTGACTATGGCAGAACGAGGAGCAATGGTCCCAAGTTACAGTGGGGGAGGTCTACGTTGGATATTAGGAAAAACTATTTCCCTAGGAGGGCAGGGAAGCACTGGGATGGGTTCCCTAGGGAAGTGGTGGAATCTCCATCCCTAGAGGTTTTTAAGTCCCGGCTTGACAAAGCCCTGGCTGGGTTGATTGAGTTGGGGCTGGTCCTGCTTTGGGCAGGGGGCTGGATTTGATGACTCCTGAGGTCTCTCCCAGCCCTGGGGTTCTATGTTAGAGAGAGGCTGTTCTCAGTGGTGACAGATGGCAGAACAAGGAGCAATGGTCTCAAGTTGCAGTGGGGGAGGTCTAGGTTAGATATTAGGGGAAACAATTTTCCCTAGGAGGGGGTGAAGCCCTGGGATAGGTTCCCTAGGGAAGTGGTGGAATCTCCATCCCTAGAGGTTTTTAAGTCCCGGCTTGACAAAGCCCTGGCTGGGTTGATTGAGTTGGGGCTGGTCCTGCTTTGGGCAGGGGGCTGGATTTGATGACTCCTGAGGTCTCTCCCAGCCCTGGGGTTCTATGATTCTACGAACTAGACGATCTGTTAAATATTTTAGAATTTAGAGGTTTCCCAAGGGATTGAAATTTACTATGAGCCCGGGTTGAAATCTTCGAGGCAATTGGCTTTGATGTGCCCGTGTGGGCTTCAACTCTATGTTTTATAATTGAATCAATAGTTGAGTATAGCAGAATCAGAAAGCAGATAACAGCCTGAGCAACTCAGATGCTCAGATGTCTACTACTGTACAAACAACCGTGTCTCTAGGAACCAGCTGCCAGAAGAAGTAAGAACCATCATGAACCACGCTGCGTGCAGAGCCAAATGTCTTCACACTCACCGCCTCTTAGCTCGGTAGAGTTCCTTGCTTGACTGCAGCATGCAGCTCACTTCGATTCAAGTCTGTTTCTCCTTCCTCTTATGATTTAGGGCCCTTTTCGACGCCAGTGAACTCCACCAAGTTCAACAGAGAACACCTTTGGTTTGAGGACTGCACCCTTCAGGATTCCAACCCGCAGACGGATGACAAGCCTTTTTCCTAAAGAGCCGCTTGAGTCAAAGAGGCTGATGCCAACTCAGGTCTGTGATTTAGTTTAACTCTTGATTCCCCAGTTTTGCAACAAGCTGTCAATTGCATAAGAAATAATCCAAGGCAATAATAACATTTGAAATCCTCTCCTGTCGTATTTCTCTCCCAGCGATAAACAGTGAACCGTGGACGCTGACTTTGTTTTTAAGACTCGTCGGTCCAAGGACAAGCAAGAATGTTGAAGGAGATCCAAATAGTGCTCTGCTTCTTTTTTGTCTGTGTCTTTGTCATTTTGTATGAATTCTCCCTGCAGCCTGTTTGTGTCTTCTCATGCAAGCCTATTGCTAAGCCATTCCTGACAGAAGAGGATGTTATGAACCAGAGCAGAAGCATCATCTTCGTGGAGACCACAGACCGCCTGCAGCCTCCTCCCTTGGTTGCATGTTCTGTGGAATCTGCTGCCAGGATCTACCCTGACAGACCTGTTGTCTTCTTCATGAAAGGGTTGAAAAATAACACACGGCTGGATTCAAATTCCACTTCCTCTGCCTCCTCTCTTCTATCTGCTATGAAGAATGTCTTCCTTTTTCCTCTTCAGATGGAAAGTTTGTTCCAGGGGACACCTCTGCTCCCATGGTACCATAAGGTGAGAGGAAATAGAAAGGAGGAAACATTTTTTAACAAGATTTAAGGTAGAGGTGGTAGAAAATGAAAAGAAACTGGTTGTGATATTTTTAAACATTTTGAAGCAGTTTTATTACCCCCAAATGGACCTCTTTTCATGATATTTTGCCAGGCATTCGTCAAAATATTTCTTGAAATTGTTATGTACATTTTCTATTTCCTGGCGGTAGGATTTATGGCAAATAGAGTATTCCGATAATAATTTTGGTAGCCATATTTTCTCAAAATGCTTAATCACCATCTTTTCCAAAAAGGCCATTTTTTGATAAAGAAGGTGTATTTGAATAATTTTAGCAAGCATGAATGTAAAGAGAACTTTTCCTGGTGGGGAAACATGATTTCAGTGCTTGTTAAAGGTGTCTGACAGCAACGAAAATGTTTAAAAACAAGCTCTAGAAGTGAGAGGGGAATTCAAAGGTCCATTTTGGAACAACAGAAAAAAAAGGCAGTGGTATTCCACCAGCCATGCCTCTCAGAAGTGTTGGTCACTGCATTTCTCTGCACTTCTCGGTATGGTTCTGTTGGCAACCATGATAGCTTTGGATCAGACAGTGAGAGTGTCAGTTGCGATGGGGGGTTGTTTGGGGAAATAACGGTTAATGATTCCTAATCTCGTTATTTGATCAATGTTGGATGTTTCTTGGGATTTGCTGTGGCTTGAGCACACTTGTACAATCCCACCGAGTAAAACCTGTATCTGCTCTTGCCCTTTTCCACCAACGTGACTTAGCTGAAAAAGAAAAGCAGCCAATTGCATCTCTGTGCTCCCTTTCCAACTCTGCAGGTTAACGCAGCCCAGGAGAAGCACTGGGTTCATATCATCTCTGACGCCAGCCGACTTGCACTCCTCTGGAAATACGGGGGGATCTACATGGACACTGACGTCATCTCCATCAGGCCTATTCCAGTGGCAAAGTTCCTGGCGGCCCAGGCTTCCCAGTTCTCCAGCAATGGGATTTTGGGCTTTCCTCACCATCACTGGTTCATTTGGGATTGCATGGAGGATTTTGTAGAAAACTACAATGGAGGCATTTGGGGAAATCAAGGCCCCATGTTAATGACAAGGAGACTCCGAGCATTGTGCACCTTGAGCGATTTCCATAAGGTGGAGGATCTAAGTTGCCAGAATATTTCCTTCTTACATCCTCAGCGATTCTACCCCATCGCTTATGAAGGATGGAGACAGTACTATGAGATCTGGGAGACAAGCCCCGACTTCAGCAACTCTTATGCTCTGCATCTGTGGAACTTCATGAACCAGGAACACAAGCCTGTGGTTGCAGGAAGTAACACCTTGGTGGAAAATCTCTTCAGAACACACTGCCCCACCACGTACAAGGCCCTTATTCTAGGCACAAAACGCAGTGGTCCATGTGCATCAAAACAAGAATGAATGACGGCATCTAGAAGAACAAGGTGACCCTTCCAGCCCTCATGTTCCTGCGACTAAAACAAACTGCGCACAAGACGCACGTTCTCTTAGTCAGTGACTCTCGGCCATTTTCTCTTTGCAGGTGACTTTGTAGGAGAGAACCTGTCGGAATCCACCTCTTCTCCCAAGTTTTCCCAGGATCTAATTAAATCAGTAGGAAGCGTGGGGGGGTGGGACGGAGGGTGCGGTATACATATCATGACATCACCAATACTCAGTATGTCTTGTCCTTCAGGGAAAAATTTACCCAAATGACCTAGGAGTCACGTTGGCTTTGTGAACCAGAACTCCACTGAAAATCAGTGTGACTTAGGAACCTAAGGGTCAAATGTTCAAAGGTATTTGGTACCTAGAGATGCCCCTAAGTGCTTTTGAAAATCCCATTGGGCATCGCTCTGCCTCTGGAGCCTTTCAGAATCTGACCCCCTACATGGGTTTGGAAATTGCAGCATCTTGTGTGATGAAGCCCTTAGCTAGTGAAGGACTCTAGCGGCTACTGTAATGTCCATGCTCAGTCACAAGGCATGTAATGACACTCTGTGAATGGCAGCCCGAACCTCCCCCATGCAAAATGTTCATTGTCATTGATAATTTTTGTCTTTCTTTGCTTCAGCTCTGGATCCTGCCGTCTGCACAGCGACATTTTAAATGCTCCTTTAAATAAAAGTTCCACCCCGCCCAATGGCTCTGAATTTGCATTTCCCCACCTAAGCCTCCCTCCAGCATCTGGGATGGGCAAAGGAAAGGGGGGGAGGGTCTGTGCTCAGTGATGGTTTCTGTGTGAGTCTCTCTCAGTCCTTAAATGGCCCCGTTCTTGCAGCATGTGGGCGTCTCCCCGCAGCCCCGTGCGGCTGGGAAGCTCTGTTCTCCCTGCTGGAGACCCCGTCGTGGAACTGAGGCCTGGAGCCCCACGTGGGACCCAGGGACCCACCCCCAGTGCCAGGCGCTGCCGCCACCCACACAGCCCCAGTCAGCCACGGCCTGGCCCTGCCGCTGCCCGGACTCCTGGTGCCAGATCCCCTGCGCCTCAGTTTCTGCCTCCAGGCCCCTGCAAGGCCCAGTCTGGCAGGTGTGCGCTGAGCTCTCCTCGCTCCGCACAACACGGGCCGGGGAGGAGCCTCCCTGACAGCCTAGCCCAGGCCTGAGGGGACCCGCGCCCTGGGACGGGGATGCCAGTTCTCCTCCCCCCCTTTGACCCAGCCTGTGACCCACGGGGCACTCTGGGGAGAGCCTCTCCCGGTGTCGCTCAGTGCGGTGGGTGCAAATAGCTGCGTGTGCGCCGGGGCAGAGGCAGCACGGCCCTCGGTGCATCCTCAGGCGGGTAGCCGGTGCCAGGCTGCGGGGGCAGGGCTGTTCCTAGCACGTCCGCTCCCCAGAGCCAGCACTGCACCGTGACCGCAGGGACGGGGCTGGCGGGGGGGCTGAGCAGGGGCCGCTGGGCTGGGAGCCACCCGGCGGGGCAGTGGGCAGGGGGCTCACGTGCTGCGCTCTGGGGCCGTAACCCTCTGGGCCCGGCTCTGCCCTGCCCCGCTCCGCCCCCCGCCCCCCCGCAGCAGCAGCA